GTCTCTAGCTTTAAAAAAAAAATTATATATATATATGTTTTTTAAATATAAAAATAATTAATAAATTACTCTTCTATTAACTTGGGGCGTACCTGGCTACCTTTCAGTTCGCATTTGTGCGCCTGATGCATCGGCTGAGAAATGGTGTCCTAGATCAAACTGTGCGGCGCGCCTCATAGGCACGGCGGAAGAGGATAGCAGGTGAGGCGGGAGAGGGTAGAAGGTGAGGCGAGAGAGGAATAGCAGGTGAGGCGTTAGAGGATAGCAGGTGAGGCGTTAGAGAGTAGCATGTGAGGCGGGAGAGGATAGCAAATGAGGCGGGAGTGGATAGAGGTGAGGCGGGAGAGGATAGCAGGTGAGGCAGGAGAGGATAGCAGGTGAGGCGGGAGAAGATAGCAAGTGAGGCGGGAGTGGATAGAGGTGAGGCAAGAGGATAGGAGTGATGCGTGAGAGGATAGGAAGGGAGGGAGAGGATAGAGGGCGGGAGAGGATGAGGATGAGAGGATAGCAGGTGAGGCAGGAGGGATAGAGGTGAGGCGGGAGAAGATAGCAGGGAGGTGGGAGAGGATAGCAGGTGAGGCGGGAGAGGATAGAGGTGATGCGTGAGAGGATAGCAGGTGAGGCGGGAGAGGATAGCAGGTGAGGCTGAATGATTGAAAGACAATCAAAGATTTAGAAGCCGTTTCAAAAAATCCATATTCCAAAATAAATATGATTTCAAAATTTAAAATATTAAGCTGTTTCCATGGTATTCTCAGCATCCTTCTGTAGAACTGCTGTCCTCAAAAGGCCATACTAATCTCGGTTCTTCGATACTCTTCAAATTCCTCGCATTTCTGATATTTTTCTTCTTCTCTGTAGCGTGTCCCTTGTGGACGTTTGTGATCATGGCTCTCCGCTGTTTCCTGTCCTTCATAGCTCTTAATAAATTGTGTCTTTGTTATTTCTCCTAAGCCCTGTTCCGCCATTTATTTACTAAAGTTCGCTAGGTAGGTTATGCTTTGTTTTCCTCTTGCATTCCATCTGTCCTGTGAGTATCAAATTTCCCAAGCCCTCATTCCTCACTATCTGTACTAAAATATTACTGATACTATATGTCTAAAGATCGAGGAGTTGGTTCCAGTAACCCTTTGGACTTGAACCCGTACAAGAATTTGGGAAATAGGATTGACGATATTTGTTTGAAATTAAATATGAGTCTTACAAGCTTAGGGATAATAAGTGTTCAGGAAGTAAGTCATATATATATATATATATATATATATATATATATATATATATATATATATATATATATATATAATATGTGAAAATATATAGAAAATAGGAAGGAACTGGCTAGGTAAATAATCCAAAGTCCCTTAGTATTTTAGTTATTATTTTTTAAAAATAGTGCTCGATGCAAAAAGTAGAGCATAAATATAATTAGTTATTTAAAAATATGATTCCAAACGCTACATAAGAAGTTCGCTTGAAGATGGAACAGAGCTTATTTTAACTCAATTTAATTTAAATAATTATATTGAAGTTTTCGGCTCTTGTTTTGAAACATGAGACTTCTTATATAGCGTTTTGGAATCATATTTTAAATAAATAATTATATATATATATATATATATATATATATATATATGAAGAAAAATATACGGAAAAAACAAACAAAAATCTTAATATGCAATTATGCTGTTTTAATGTTAATATAATGTCAACGTCGGACGTTTCGGTCTAGTAGACCATCTTCAGGACATATTCATAAAACATAATTAACATTAGACTATATTTAATTCAACATGAAAAGACGATGGACATAAGAGTAAGACTAATCAAAACAGACAACTGAAATTTTTCAAGATCAGCGTTCCGTTTCAATATGATCACGTAGGCGTCACGTGGGCGATGTTGTGAAAACGTATTCCTAAAATATAGTATTTTGAATGAAATATTAGGATTTTTGAATGAAATATTAGGATTTTTGTTTGTTTTTTCCGTATATTTTTCTTCATACTGTCGGATCTATATCCATATATTTGCTGTGCTTGATATACAATAGCAGAACTAAAATTTATACTGAGAATAAATATATATTTTATTATTCACCATTTAGTAGAGAATCAGTCATATTTTGAAAACCGACCATTGTAAAATTTACATAGGAATATTCATAACCTATTTTTAAAATGGTGAAGCGGGCCAGTTTTTTTTGATGAGGAGAAAACAATTATATATGTACTTATTTCTTTAAAAACTGGATTATACATAAAAGAACAATTAGATGAAAAAAAAAAATATTTTTACAGTAAGGTTCACCCTGTGCAAGGCACAGGGGCCATTTGTATTACGGGGTGAGGCTAAGAGGCAGTTCATAAAGATAGGAGTGGGAGATAACGGTTAACCCGAGACTTGAACAGGTTAAGGTTATAGTGATCAAGCAATCGGTTCCATAGAGCAATGGTTCACCGGAAGAAGCTGTTCAAGTGAAACCGACGGAATACGGATGGAATGCTGGGGGTTTTCTACAATATAAGATATATGGCAGGTGCTCACTGTGAAGGTAGACCTGCCGGAACCAACGAATGTAGTTTTTATCCAACCACTTTCCATGGAAGAAAGGGGACGGATAGTAAACTAGATGGGGATGAAATCGCAGACATTGCAGGAAAAGATACGCCTCCAGCACAAACGTTTCGAATTACAGTGTAACCCGGATATAAGAGACCCGGATATAAGAGAAATCCGGATATAAGAGAGATTTGCTCTGGTCCCAAATTAGAGCCTGTGTTAATGTATATAAAATAGACCAAACCCGGATATAAGAGACTTCTTCTCTGGTCCCGACAACTCTTATATCCGGGTTACACTGTACTACTTATAGATTTAGGCCAGAAATATTGACTAAAAAATTCGTTCTTTAAATAATATTTACCCTGAAAACTTGTGAAAATAATTAATTTATGAAAGAAAAGATAACAAATTTTATTGATAGTCGCTTTTTTTTTTTCTTCCTTTCTTCGTTTTATTACAAAATACACATACTTACTCTCAGCAGAGCTTGGAATAAAAATAATTCGTGGAGAAATGAACAGTCTGATTGATTGTCCAATTCGTTTTCTTTGCTTATCAACCTTTTGCAGGTTATTTAAAGGCAGAATATGTACGCTTTTAGGATTGTTCAAACAATTTGTACAAACATGTTGTTTTCTTTTTTCTCGTTTTAGGCTTGACAATATGCTGAGGGAGCTGTGGACCGAACATGACGAGGTTTGGAGAAAATGAATACAAAAAGGAAACTTATATTTAACACCAGAAAGAGGTAATTGAAATTTCTGGGGTACGTAATGAGGAAAGAGGGCTTGGAAAATCTGATACTCACAGGACAGTCTAATGTCATCCTGTGTATGACGATGAACTACATCCGGCAGCAAGGCCTCTGATCGGGAGATTTTGAGTGTGAAACCACCTGTTAATTGCTGTCGTTTTCAGGTCCATCCTGACCCGGATGCTGGCACCTGTTAAGGTTCCGGTTGTGTGCAAATAGTTAACCCCAAAACTGGGATCAAAACACTTTGAAATTATAAAAATAGTTTTTTTTTTAATACAAATTCCAATAATACATTTTTGGAGAAAAATCTTACCAGCAATACTTTTCACTCTCGAGAAAAACCCTTTTTATAAAAATACATCAATGAAACCTGATCTACAAACTGATTTCTTACAAAGAAAACATATTCTGTTCATAAAAATGCTGTCGCTATTAAATAACCCACTGAGGTGTTGATATGCCGTAAAAGAAAATCAACCAAACCAAACAGTTCGAGGGAAAGAGGGACAGAGGAAAAAATGCATAACATATTTGACGGACTTGAGTAAATGGATGGCAAAACAGAGCTTGGGAGAAACAGCAAAGAGCTACAAGGGACAGGAAGCTCTGGAGAGCCATGAACACTTACGTCCTCAGGGGACACAGTACATAAAGAAAAAGACCAATTAACCTTGGCCACATAATTCCTTGCGCTTTCTGATAAGATAATGGTGTGCAATTTTTATGATTGGTTCATTGATTTGTTCTCTACGGTTTATCAACCCTTTGGAGGTTATTTAAAGCCAGAAAATATTTTTAGATTGTAAGATTTTTTATATAATAATGGCTTAGCGATATAAGTCTTACTAATTGTTGTGAACTCCGAGAGGAAATTCTGTCTCCAATGAATGACAAACGCAAGAATTAAATATAAGAAATTAAATGTATTTACACAATAATACAATCGGTAATACTGTTAGTAAATCTGGGAACGCCGTTAGTAGCAATAATATATATATATATATATATATATATATATACAGTCTCGAAGTAGAGTCTACGTGCTTGTAACTGTGACTTCTACAAGCGGTTACCTCACACTATTACTCTACCTCCAACAATCACAATCTCTGCTCACTCTCTCTCTCTATTCTGACTGACTCTGGGTATTTAACGGCAGCAGTCCAAGTACACACTGGTCGAGTCCACTTATAAGAAAAAGGTGAGGACCCCATAACACTAATTAACCCTTAGCTGGAGGTAGAAGAGGTAAATTCATACCTTTCTCAAGGTATGTAATGCTGAGATACTGAAAAATTCCTTGATTGAATGATTTGATTTTTACGGCTTACCAATCTTTGCGGGTTAGCCAGAAATGATTTTTTAGATTGTAAAAATATTTTTGAAATAATAATAATTTGCTGATACAAGTCCTACTAATTAACCCATAGTTGGGGGAGATAAGATGTGGATTCATATTTTTCCCAAGGGAAATTGACTGTAAGTGGATATAACACAACAATTCGAAATCGGCTCTCCAATCGACAGTTACGACCCATTATCCATCACGCCATACGGACTTCAAAGCTTACAGCATCTGGTATCTCCAAGGGGTCTGCCATCAAGGTACTGACCAAACTCGACGTTGCTTAACATCGGTGTTTTGTACGGGAACCAGTGTTTCAACATGATGTGGCCGTAAGCCTAAACAGTCGGCTTTAACTTTTCGATTTCGTTACAAAAAAAAAAAAAAATACTGAAAAATAAGAAGGACATTGCCTTTGTACACATATGTTGCTAGTTTCTGCATCTAATGAAGAATATATTCAATGTTGCCGCGGGCAAATCTTTTAAAACTTTAATTTGCACAAAGATCAAATTTCCCCTTTTTTTTAATTCTCACCCTGTCCTTTTTATTTCGCGTTTCCGTCTTCGTTCAGACATAAATATGCGTTATATATATATATATATATATATATATATATATATATATATATATATATATATATATATATATATATATATATATATATATATATATATATATATATATATATATATATATATATATATATATATATATATATATATATTGATATATATATATATATATATATATATATATATATATATATATATATATATATATATATATATATATATATATATATATATATATATATATATATATATATATATATATATATATATATATATATATATATATATATATATATGCATATCAATATATAAATGTTTACTCTGAAGTGCTTAATACAAGAAGGCGTTTTTAATAATTGGGAGGTAGAATGTTTCTCCATATGCAATAAACGTGAAGTCTTAATAAAAGGAAGCGGTCGGAAAAATAAACTAAAGGAATTCTGATGAATAGAGCACACATCATAATCAACAATCATAATCAAACCGGAAATAGGACAAAAAAAAAAACAGTGCCGGCTCGTTAAAGACATCAGAACAAGGAATTCAATATTTACGCTCAGAATGATATCAGAAAAAAGCAATACAACTGCAGAGAGATGTGTACCTGAGTTTGATAGATTATTCAAAATCGTTTGATAAAGTATGTCTCAAAGAACTGCTGGAACTGCTTGGAGAGGATATTAAAATAATCTAGAACATATACTAACAGGAAAAACTGCCCGAATACAGATAGAAAATGAATTCAATAAATATACAAAAATAGAAAGGGGTGTAAGACAAGGATGTGTCTTCTCACTGTTATGGTGGAACACACCTATTCTATAGTTAATAGACTCTCCCACCTATAATAAGTAGGGGTAAGGAGTGGAGTCAGGGGGTGAGTGAGCCGTTCACTTTTGAACAGACTGATCGGTTCAACTCTCTGTCTCCGGACGGAGAGGAACCCGAGGGAGGCTACGCCGAAGGGCGGAGTCTCCTTCGGGAGGAAAAAACCGGCCCTGAACCCGTTGATGCGGGTTCAAACGGGCATATTTTTGGGCCGAGCCCACGGGCTCGGGATTACCTACAATAAACAACCGACCTTGTGTCACATGTTGCCCCAGTGGCGGGGGAGACTCAATATCGTTAGTCAGTCAGTCAGTCGATGTCGGACGACAGTTAGTCGAATACGAAAGTAGTCAGCGACCATAACTAGATTACTCCGCGTCATTACCTATTATATCAAGTTCCTAACGTTTTGTACGTCGAACCTATTTTAGGACCGACTTAGTACAAATACAAGCCTCCACTGTGAAATAGCTCCACAACACTCACCGGATTTACTCAACATATACAGTGAGATTATTCTGAGAGAATTAGAAGTCCGACCAGGATTCATTATTGGCGGTCAGAATTTTGACAATATAAGATATGCAGATGACAATGCTAATAGCATATACGAAAAGGAAACTACAAGAATTCCTAAGTTAGGGAGAAAAGGCGAGAATAAAGGACTAACTCTCAATTGGAAGAAGACGGAATGCATGGTTGTCAGCAAAAGGATGAGCCCAAAGTACAAATTACAAATTGCAATTACCAAAATAAAACAAGTACAACAAATATCTCGGAAATGTTTTAACAGAGAATAGAAAGATGCCTCCCGAAAGCTAAGCAGAGTATTAAGAAACAGAAAAATTTCGTTAGAAACAAAGAAAATAGTAATGAACTGTTACGTAATATCAATGGGCGAGAGAAACTTAATAATATTTTAATAAGCTGGGGTAAGGGGGCGAAATATGTCCCACCAAAAGAATAATAAAAGTCCCACTCCTTTTGTAAAGGCACCTTAAAATATAGACTTGGAAGAACATGAATGTTTTATAATTGATAATAGAAAATAAACTTTCACTTAGACAACAAAAAAGAGCTCAATACAAAATACAAAATCGAATATGTAGAGCTAAGATATTTTAAAATGGCTAAAATGCCAACCAAACACGCAACGATGGTTTCGACCGTAAGGCCTGCTCAGGCAAGTGGAAGGATGTACAAGCCAAAGAAAACTAGTCTAATATACGAGAACACCGGAAGTGGGAGGGTAAAAGTATGAAGATTGGGGAGGGGCGAGAGAGAGAGGAAAAAGAGAGAAAATTATGTAAGGAAATTTGTTTTTTGCTCATCGAAATATATATATATATATATATATATATATATATATATAATTTAAAATATTAAATATTAAATGTTAAGACTGACTCACAAAGAGCTCTCAATGTTTTTTTTTTATTAAACAGAGCAAAATATTTCATACAATTGGAATTAAGATATCAATAGTGAATGATCATTTTCGCCAGCGAATTTTAAATTTAAAATTCACAGGATTTTTTAAACTGTTTATAGTGTCAGTTTGGTGAAGAGTCCTCTTTAAAATTCGCGGGTGAAAATGATCATTCACTAATAGTATCTTAATTCCAATTGTATAATATATATATATATATATATATATATATATATATATATATATATAAAGCATGAAGCAGTGTCGTCGCATGGTTTTGACCTAAGTCTCAGTTTTTATATGTAGAAATACTCTATCTCTGATATTGAGCACTTTTTACCCATAAATATAAACATATGTATAAATATAATATACCTTAAACTATATTTTTATCATTATACATACATATATATATATATATATATATATATATATATATATATATATATATATATATATATATGTAGGTAGTAGTACCAGTAGTAGGAATGTGAAATTCAAGAGATATAAAAACAACAATAGTGCTAATGAAAATAAAAATAAGACTTATTGTATATTAAAAAGCCTTTAGGGCAAATAGAATCACGATGATGAAAGATGTTATAAATTGGAATTTTCGGACACGCCTTTTTCAACGAGAAATAAAATGAAGTTGGACTTTTTGTGCATGTGTTTTTTTACTGATGAAATCTTGTAGTTTTGGGCGAGTCGTCTGCCATGATTAGTGTTGTGGAGAGTTTGCAGATGGCTTTTTGCGGAAACTGTATTCATTGAATATGCCTACACGCTTATTTAAACTTATTTAAACTTTACTGTATATATATATATATATATATATATATATATATATATATATATATATATATATATATATATATATATATATATATATATCCGAATACAGGGTTGGTATAAATGGAATAAAATTCCAATAACCAAAACCAGAATTTTTTTTTTTTTGTGCACAATACAAATTAGAGCGAATAATATTTATTAAAAAATTATAATATAGGCATTTTATAGCATGGTAGCCTTGAAACAAAATGTATTTCATCGGATGAAACGCGTCACAAACACACACACACACACACACACATATGTGTGTGAGGCGTTTCATCCGATAAAACTCATCACAAAAACTTTTTCAAAATTGTCATATATATATATATATATATATATATATATATATATATAATTTAAAAATTACAACATAAGCATGCTATAACATCACTACAAAAATATTTTTTGTAGTGATGTAGTGTTGAAAATGGCTATATATATATATTGAAAAGAAAATAAAGAAAAAACAAAATTCAAACAGATTATTAACTATAAAAAAGTTATCGTTTGAATTTTCGGTCTTCTTATGTCCATCTTCATTTGTGTTAAATTGTTATTTATAATGTTAATTAACATTAAATGAAAATGTCCATGAAGATGGTCTTAAATAGACCGAAACGTCCGACGTCGACTTTATTTTAACATTAAAAATGTCTATTCAGAATTTTGTTTTTTCTGTATTTTTATACTGTCGGATTTATATCCATATATTTGCTTATATATATATATATATATATATATATATATATATATATATATATATTTTTTTGTGATGCGTTTCATCGGATGAAAGGCATCACAAAAACAAATATATATATATATATATATATATATATATATATATATGTATGTATCTGTGTGTGTGTGTGTGTGTGTGTGTGTGTGTGTGTGTGTGTGTGTGTGTGTGTGTGTGTGTGTAAGTATTATTTGTCAAGGTATTGATCATGGAATAACTTCTGGAAGTTTAAATTCAGTTATCATAGTATTTCCTTGGTGACAGATTCTATTTCTCTTATCAACAGCCTCATTTTCACCTTCCCCAGTCGAAGACAGCGTCTACCGGTTATCGTCTGTCTATTTACGTCTTCACTGTAGCTTTTCGTGACGCTGAGACAAAAATGGCGCCTCTAACTTGATAGCGATGAAGTTACGATGGATGACTATGTTGCCCTTAGAATCAAATGCTGAAGACTGTGTTCAAGTGTCGTCATCATTATCATGTTTCATTAAACGAGTCATAATATCCTCCAGGGTCGAAATGAAAATAATAGCATCTTCTGTGTCATCGTCTATCTATTGGGGAAAAAAGTTAACTCTTTAAGGTAACTTTCCCAAGTTAAAATATCCAAGTGGATCTAAATATTCTAGAAACAGCAAAATTGCGTAAGAAACAATGAAAAGTGTCCTGAATTGCTATGTAATATCAATCTTCCTATATAATAATGAATGCTGGCCATTTTTCTCATAGATGAAGAGAAGACTTGGGCTAAAAGGATGCTGAGAATACCATGGTCAGAGTGGGTAAACAATTAGGAAGTCATAAAGAAATTAGAAGCAAAAATGACATTTAGAATTATTGGGTTGGTGCATAATTATTAGGCGTTTTTAAACAATATTTATTGTGAAAAAAAAGAAACATAATTCAACAATAATATTTTTTAAAT